AGGATTTCCATTGTCGTCATGCTCTTGATGAACTTGATGTTCTTGGCGAGCTTGTGGAGGAGCTTGTCGAGCTCGAGGAACTTGACGATGCACGCGAGGTTGAAATCTTCGTTCTTGAATTTCTTTGCGAAATGCTTCTTCTTGTTCTCGAGCTTGTCGGCCTCGGTTGGCTACGGCTATACTTGAATCTTGGAGGGCTTGTTGCGCCGCAAGTGCTTGAGCTTCACGGGGTTGTTCTTCTTGGCGTTGTGCCTCGACATCTTGTGCAACTCGATGTAGACGCGCTCGCTCTTCCTCTTCATGTTGGCGTTGTTGTTGCCGTTCTCGTGCTAGCGCAAAAGCCTCTTGAGTTTGACGTCGTCGACGCTCTTGAGAGTCGGTGTTGCGTAGAGGATTGAGGCTTGCTTGACGATCGTTGCGCGCGGCACGGCGTAGAGTGTTCGATGTCGGTGTACTTGAGCCGGAGAGGGTGAAGTCGGAGTGTCGACTTGAGCGGGTCCTTCTTGATGAGGATGAAGTGGAAGAAGAGCGGTTGAGCAACAAAGTGCGAATTTCGTCCATCCTTGCGTCATTCTCTTGCTTGTGATCGTCGAGCTTGTGGTCGAAGTAGTCCCTTGTACGTTGCTCGGAGAGTCGCAAGTCGGTGGCGAGGTTGTCGATGCGTTCACTCATGGCTTGTTGCTCTTCATGCAAAGCACGTTGTGCACCAAAGAGGTGGCTCTTGGTGACATACGAGTTCATGTCGTCATCGTGCTCAATGAAGAGTGGGTTGGTATAAGTACTTGGCCTATCCATCATTCCAAGATACACAATGTGAGTGGTAGAAAGAGAAGAACGAATACCAAATGTACCTTGACTGAAGTTGAAAGTGGATCGATGATCACTCCAATGTAGGACCAGGAAATAGCACAATTGGTACTAGCTCTTGTCGGTTTCTCAGGCCTACACAAGTAAAAGCTTATGATGGAGCTTGGTTAGGATGGTGGCACAAAATTTGATGCAATTGTAAGTGATCTTCAATAATGTTGTAAAAGATTCGCAAGATGCAATGTAACAAGTAGACCAAGCATATAAGGTACACGGAAACACACACGCAAATAGATAAGTGGGGTTGGGCAACCAAAGATGAGCCAAAATGTGGAATCCACAAAAATGCTCTTGTTGCACAACACTAGAGAGACGCTAGCACGATTGCACAGTAGGCGGATACAATAACTTGTGCACAACCTACTTAGCAAAAATGCAATGACTTCTATCCCAAGTATGCTCTATGCAAGGTGTTTCTATGATATGATCCAAGATGATCGAGTATGACAATCTTAGTGTTGTATGATGCTATGATTCTTGCTTAAAAGCTCTTTGCTTATCTTTCCTCTTTGCTTAAAAGCTTGTTTGGCTCTTTGATGTCGGAGCTCTTTTTCTCATGCGATGCTTCACGAACCAAGATAGCAATTGTGTATGCGATGACAACATTGTGACACCAGAGATGATACCAATATATACAACAATGATGTATGTATGCTATGGGAAGTATGATCACTAATGTGCACAAGTCTAGTTGCCGGCAATACTCAATGGCTAGTCTCGATGGGTAAGCAACGCAAAGGAATAAGGCTATGATGGCTATCAATGTAATGGCAAGAGTGATATGTCCAATACCAAGACAAGGTTACCATTCTTGCTTCTGATATGGTGTCAAAAATGGTGGCACGAATACCAAGGTGTAGTCGAGGTGGTCGTTGTTGATGACGCGTACGTGGCGAAGATGAGCGGCAGTGATGTTGATGTTGAACCGTACCTAGGTAGCCGAAACACGAAAGGATACGGAACTGCAACTCAAATTCTCAAATCTAGAAGTGGCAACACGTGTCGGAGTGCGAAACAGTCCAAATGGTGGTGGTATGCGGAAGTGGTGATGGTGTATTGGTGGTTTGAGTGCGTATGCGGAAATGTGGGGTGGTGGTGGTAACTACACTGAAAAATTCTGTTTTGTCAGTGTCGGTCGGACGCCCGGTCTGGGCCGGTCGTCCGGTCGTCGGACGTCCGGTGCCTGGGCGATTTTCGGGCACGGGATGAACAGCTAGGTTTCTAGGTGGAGATGGCGAAAATGGTCAAATCCGGATGATTTTGTGGATGGAAAGGATGGGGAAAGAGGGGAAAAGCTAGATCCACTCAAAACAAAGCAAATCCACGGATCCAAACCAACAAAATCTCAACACACTAACAAGTCAAAAAAAACCGGGGATATTTTTGTGGGGAATTTTTGAATTAGGACGAAAAACAACAAAAACTAGGCTAGAAACACAACGGGGTGGCTCCGAAATCGTGATCAACGTGGCTCATGATACCAAGCTGATGTAGGGTAGGAACCCTATAGCCCGATCTTTCACGATAGGAGCGGATCCCGCGATGAACATGAGAACACAAGGAGGGAAACGAGGGAAAACACGGGGGAAACACAAGAGAAACACTAAACCAACAAGAACAAGTTACACATGTGATAGATCATCGAATACATAGGGTTCACACGGTACACGATCAACCAAGGATGATACAAGGGTAACGGTCTTCTCCGTGAGGAGGTCTTGATGTTCTTCCCTAAAGAGGGGTCTTGAATCCGCTTGGGGATCTTCTCCGTAGGAGGCTCGAATCTCCGAGGAGAAGGTAACCAAGTGGATGAGCAAAGCTCTCACACAAAATATGAGCTAATCCTTTGCTAACCCTAGAAAGTTGGACGAGGTGGAGTATATATAGTCCTAGTGCAAAAGAGGGGGCGAAGGGGTACATGGGCTGCGGCCCAACTCGAAACGGTGCACAGGCGTCGGACGTCCGGGGGTCACCGGTCGTCCAGAGGATCGCGAGGGTCCGGACGTCCGGTGCCTGTCGGACGTCCGTAGATTCTTCTCGGGTGGTCATTGGTCGGATGTCCGGTCGGGGTCGGACGTCCGGGCGTTGGATGTCCGTGGGTTTTGGCTCGGGTGTGGAAACGCCGGTCGTCCGGAGCCTGGAGGTCGTCGGACGTCCGGGATCTGTCGGTCGTTCTGAGCCTGGGGACTTCGATCTTCCCTTCTTCTTTGTCTCCGTCTTCACATCCATCTTCCTCTTCCTCTTCCTCTTCTCCTTACTCCTTAGCTTCTCCATGATACCTAAGAATGCACAAAGTGTCCGTATGAGGTAGTAGCCATGTCTCATGTGCATCAAAGTGGAAATGTGAGAGGAGAGATGTCACCTCGGTTTCAAGGGCTCTTGCACATGCTCGTGTCATGGGTCCAAGAGATGTCGTAGAAGATGTAGTTGGGTCCATGGGATGGCCTTGGGATGCTCCGCATCAATTGGCATTGACAGAGATCGGCAATCGAAGTCTAGATTGAAGATAACGAGATCACATTGTCCCTCTACATGTCTTATAGCCTAGGACAGGGACGGTATTATTATTTGCCCTAATTTTCTAGTTTCTTTTTCCCTGAACTTTGATTGATATAGGCTATGGAGTGATGTTTCTCAAAGAAAAAATGATCACCACATTTAGATAATAATGTAGTCACTTCAAGATCGCCCGTGAGATGTAAGCAAAGTGCAACAAATGTAGATAGTGCGTCATCATCTAAATTAATTTATCTGTCTCCATAGATGATGCCATATGATTCGTCCGACTGGAACATAATTTCATAGTATGCCAGCAATCCTAAGAAGCAAGATTAAATTAGGGGAAGATATTTAACTAGGAGACCTCAAAAGCCACCACTAAATTTCGATTATCCACAGAAGGCCGTTGGAAGTGATCAATGTAGATTTAATCCAGAATAATTGAAGGATTATGGTGGCTGGTTTGACTAATGTGCATAAAGCATCCCTAACTGATTCCTTATAATTTAAGTGAGTAAACCACTGAGTATCATAGAGGAGTATCTTCCCTACTCTAAAAAATGTGTGGTTCCTAACCGAACCTCTAAACTTAACTCCCTCAAGCTTACACTTGCCTCGTACATTTCATCGAACACTTGCTATGCGTCTTCACGGCAAGTGGTGATGATAGTAACCACGTCAGGACGAGCAACACGAGCGAGGAGGATGCGTCATCGGCGACCACATGACGTGTGGCCATGTCCCTCTTCGTTCATGCTGTTGGTTTCATCCGCGCTAGAGGCAACCACGCATAGGCCGCCTCCTCTATCTCGCCTTCGTCCGCTGCATCTCAAGCTCCGGCGACTGACGCCTCCACCACATTCTCGTCATCGTTCCGCTCACGTTCTGCTCTAGGGTGACCGGCGAATGGTGGGCCGCGGTGGGGTGCGGCGGCGGCGGTCCGGGGCTGGGCCGCGGATGGAACGGGAGGTGCGATGGCGTCTTCGGAGCGGAAAAAAAATTACTCCAGCCGGCCGCAGGCGAGTATATTTAGGGACTAAGAGGCGGCTAGAGTAAAAGTTATCCTCCTATGAAGCTTTTGAGGGGTCGGCTAGGTACCGATTAGAGAAGGACACCCGAATTTATCAATGCATTCCATGATTCCAATGTCAACTTGCTATACCAATTTCCTATGTCAAATAATTGGGCCATGTCAATGCATTCCAGTATGTAAATATCAGTGACGAAGCTACTCTGAAGAGTCAATCGCAGAAGAAATAACACTTTACAGGTTCCACGATGACTGACTAACTCAGTGAGCTGGACAGCTGCAGATAAAATGCGTTTTGGAACAATCATGTCTCAGAAGAAATAACGCGTTACAGCTGTCACGATGACTGACTAACTCAGTGAGCTGGACAGCTGCAGATAAAATGCATTCTGTTCCATCAGCTTGAATTATTCCGACACGGTTTGCAAATTTTAAGTTATCTGAATTTCTTTTCTATTATCAGAGTTTACAAACTTAGCTTAGAGAAGCCATCGATCTTGTTCAGGCAGTATAAATACACAGCTCACGGTGGCAGCCTATATCATCGTTACAGATACATTCGCATACACATCTTCCCACCCTTAATTTTGTATTAGGCTTAGCAATGGAGTACTCGCCGAAGCTATCAGCGGTACTGCTCTTAGCTCTCGCGTCCGTCATGGTGGCCACGGCCCAGAACTCGCCGGAGGACTTCGTGGAAGCCCACAACGCGGCGCGCGCCGACGTGGGCGTCGGGCCGGTGATCTGGAACGAGACGGTGGCCGCGTACGCGCAGGCGTACGCGAGGCAGCGCCGCGGCGACTGCCGGCTGAAAACTTCTCCGGCGGGCCATCCGTACGGGGAGAACCTCTTCAGAGGCAGTGGGGCCGACTGGACAGCGGCGGACGCCGTGGCACTGTGGGTGTCGAACAAGCAGTACTACGACCACGACAGCAACACCTGCTCAGCGCCGGCGCTCAAGACGTGCTTGACCTACACGCAGGTGGTGTGGCGCGACTCGACGGCCATCGGCTGCGCCCGCGTCGTGTGTGCCAGCGGCTTCGGCGTCTTCATCATCTGCAGCTACAACCCGCCGGGCAACCTCTTGGGGGAGAGCCCATACTAGGCTATACGTACGTGTGTGGCTATGCATGCATGCTTGCGTTCATGTACGTAGCAGCGTATATATATTGAATAAATAATCGAGCTGTGATGATCACGGTCGACTGTGATAAGATGTTAACACTGGCTATGGATCTTACTACGATTCATGTAAGTTGTAGTTGTAGTATTGATCGACGCAAAAAATATGTAACTTGTATTGATGTACGTGCGGTGCTTATGGATGAATATATAGTCCTACTGTTATGTTGAGTAAGGTACTTGTTTGTGCCTCGCTACGGAAAAAAATCAGCACAAAAACCTACTAATCAATATATAGTCCTACTGTTATGGTGTATGGCGTTTAGGGCAACTCCAATACTGACCCGACACATTCCTTAAGTGTTTGTCCAGGTCCGGCCAATTTGAATTTCAAATGCATAGTGCGTGATCACATAGCGCTCGATCACAACAAAAGAGAGGCCGGTGTTCATAGTTTTTACATGTCCGGTCACAAAAGTATCACAGTCCGGCAATCCATTCCGGACCGGCTATCCGAACCTCCACGCTCACTCTGTCACCGGCTCATCCTCGCCATCCGCATCTTTCTTGGCCGCCCCCTTCTTCGTCGTCTCTAGCCGCTCTTCCAAGCGCTTCAACATCCTAAGACGTGCTGCTTGCATGATCATTCTTACATCGTCATCCAACCCCTTCATCTTCAAGGTCAACATTTTTAAATCCTTCGAAGAGACCATGATCTCAACCCTCTTCTCTTCGAGCTTAGTCTTTTTTCTCTTCTACACCTTGGGTTGCCCACTCAACTTCAACCAAAAAATGCGAGAGGACGAAGTTCCTCTTCTTCACCTTACAGAACAAGTTGCACGTACGGGAAGACTACAAAGAAAAACATTGTGAACAGCTTGCATATTTGGCCAAATGACCAACACATAGAACATAGCCGGCCAAATGACTAACACATAGAACAACTTACTTGCTCGATGATTTGCGCACCACTTGGCCACCAACCTATTAGTTGTTTCAAATGGCCACAATACTTGCACATGCCTCTTGGATGATGTATATCATCGATGGTTGAGCGACTTTGTCTCTCGGTTGCGGATGAGTTCGTCGCGGTAGGATATGATGTGGCCTGCTCAGGTCACTGAATTCCCCTCCATCTTGGCAGCCACCTTTCTTGGGCTCGCTGGCTATCGCGTGCATGATGGCATTGTCGTTTATGGTGCTCATCATGGCCGTCTCCGTGTGCCGTGCAGGACTGCAGACACAACCAGGGAGAATTGCCCCTATTGGATATTCATGATCGTCGTTGGCGTCACCTTCACCATGATGGATATGTTCATGAAGCATTCCGACAGTGCGTCAGTCATGATGGCCACCCTTGTTTTCCTTGCGGGCTACCTCGTCTATATCATGTGCATGGTGGCGTTGTCGTGTCCGGTCCTCGTCATAGCCACGGGCGCCATCTGCAAATTACACATTTGGTGTCCCATGCGGTACGTCCACCCTGAGTTGGCGCTCATGGTCATTGTTGGCCTCACCCTCGTGTTGTTAAACATGATGTGGGGCACACCGTTCGAGAAGCCTTCCATTGACTTCGACATGAAAGCAACATTTGTTGGCCTTGCTGGCTATCTCATCTATATCGTGTGCTCGATGGCACTATCGTGTAAGCTGTTGGATTCGATGAAGGATTCGTTCATCGTCGGCCTCACGCTCGTGCTGTTGCATATGTGCATGAAACCTTTCAGTGTCTCCAACATAGTCCTCACACCACTTCTTGCACTCATGGCACTGTCCTTTCTAGTGGTGTTGTCGTTTCTAGTGGTCATGTGGCTAGGCGCCTGGGCCCAAATACTGCTTGCGCCAGACAAGTTCAACAATTACCCCAAGTTGGTGCCGGTGAGTATATATCATCGGCCTCTCCTTCACGGCGACAAAATGTATGTTGGACACACTGGTCGACATCTCTGAATCCTTCGCTACCTTCCCTTCCATTTTCTCCCACGCAAAAGCCACACTCATTGGCCTCGTTGCCTTCATAAACCATTATCGGATCACCTACTTGGTGCATGATGAGGTATGTCACCATTCTATCCCTCACCTTGTTACCGCTGGTGTCGGGGGAGCCCAAGTCCAGGTGCGGCAAGCAGTGCTACAAGTCGGCCATCATCATCGCCCTAGCTCTAGTGTTAACAATGCAGATGCAGCCGCTATGCACTCCCACCAAGAAGCCTGCCTTGATCCATGAATCTCCATTCCCCGCAACAATTGCCTCCACCTTGGTTTTGGGTGAGTTCATTAGGTTTTCCGAGGAAACGAGGGTGGAACACAAGATGGGTATGAAGAAGGTCATCTTAGGATTCAATCTGCTCGTCGAGGAGTGTAAGGGAGTGATCCAGAGCTTCGTCGTCCACACAATTATGATCCTGATGACTCCCATAGGCGGCATGGTGTATTATGTATGTGGCCAGTACACCGAATGGATGGACAGCCTAAGGAAAAAGGCAAGGGAACTGATAGAGGGCCGGCATGGGATCAACACTCTAACGGCAACGGAATTTAAAGATGAGACTATTTCCAAGGCAAAGATGAAAAAAGAAAAGGACATTTTGGTGGCGAAGATTATTGCTGAGGACCAAATGCACCAACTTTCATGGGGTTGTTTGGGACAGACAGACCCAAAACAAACACCTCAGAGGTGTTAGCGGTTCTAAAAGAAGAACCCATCTGTGTTTCTGGATAGCCATCATTTGAAACATTAAATATCTCAACTCATTGTCACAAGGCCTCTATATATGCATTCTGCTCTAGGTATTTGTGTTGCATCCTACATATATAACAAGTGTGACAAATGGTAATAAAAGTTTTTCATGTCTTCTTTTGCTAAAATTATGTTTATTGATGTTGATGGAGAGTGAATCATTCTTTTATGTTGCTGTATGTAACTATGTATGCAGGGAGAATTTTTTCCAAGTGTGCAGTATGCATGGGGGAGTATTGCTATGTGCACAAAAGTTAACGACGGTCCCGGCTTAGCACTGCGCTAGTTGTAGTGCTCGTGTGGATAGGGACGACACCGCTAGACTGCTTAAGGCTTGCACCACCGTTACGCGGTCACAACTCCTCCATGTTTGGGCTCGCAGCCTCATCCCCGGCGCATCGCCTGCTAGCAGCACCACCGTGGCCCGCTCGTCCCCAGCCCCCAGGGCTCCGCTCGCACCACCACAACTGGTTCCAACTGGCTGCAGTGGATTGAAGTAAGTGGCACGGCCAGAGGAGATGGTGTGGTGACGGGTATAGGGGAAAATATCTGGTGTATCGAAGCTTGTGGTACTACCGATGCACCAAACTCACATTGTGCTTTTAAAATATACAAAAAATTATACATAAAAATTAGTACGCTAACACAACATCAATGTAGGTTGTCACGAATTTCAAGTCAAAATTCGAAACATAAGTCGAAAAGCAAGAATGACAAATTCAACGCTGAATAGTATATAAACTTGGGCTTTAGATTTGGCCCATTATCACACTGATGTCAAATTTGTCAAATTTGTATCTCAAAAAATATTTTGAATTTGTATACGAAAATTTGTAACATCATACGTTGATGTTGCGTTAACGTGCTAGAATTTTCTCAGATTTTTTAAAATATTCCATAGCATCCGGTGCACCGGATACATTCCCACAGGCATAGATCGGATGGAGGAAGGGGGCGCAAGAAAGTAGCATAGGGGGTAGTCCACGTGTAATCCATACGAAACGTGGCCCCTGACGGGTGTGGCTTTTTCTTTTGATTAACCTAACGGGCGTGGCTATACCTCGTGTGGAGCAACTAATCAGCGGGTCACTTTGGATGGGCTGGGAAGCCTGCCACTTGACGCGCTCTCAGCAGCTGTCATGTGTTCCTCATTTTCTTCGTACGTGTTTTCGGCTTTTAGATGTTTTTTTTTAGTTTTTTAGCTTTTCAGTTTTTCTTAGCTTTTGAATCAACTTAAAAAAATCATGAAAAATACGTTTTTCTTCTTCCTCGAGAGACATGATTTACTTCTCGTGGAAGCACAGATTTGCTCTGTGAGAGGCATAATCGGAAAAGTAAATGAAAACGCGCTTTTTCGTTCTACGTGAGGCACGGATTTGCTTCCACGAGGTGCAGTCGTGCATGAAAAAAATACGTTTTCATTTTTTCTTTCTACGAGAGGTACCAATTTACTTCTCGTGGAGGCACGGATTTGCTTCCATGAGTCGTGTCTCTCGGAAAAGAGAAAAACATATTTTTGCCTTCCACGAGAGGCACAAATTTGCTTCCATGAGAGGCAAAGTCGTGCAACTTGGAAAAGGAAACAACGCGCTTTTCTTTTCACGAGAGACACGAATATACTTTTGGTACATATTTGCTTCTATGGTGCCTCTCAAAAAAGGAAAAGAAATGTGTTTTTTTTCTTCCACGAGTGACACAGATTTACTTTTCATGAAGTCATGAATTTGCTTCCGTGGGAGGCACAGTCATGCCACCCTAAAAAGGGGAAAAACCCTTTTTTTCTTTCCTCAAGAGGCATGCATATCCTTCTCGTCAAAGCACGGATTTGGTTCTGCGAGATCATGCCTCTCTTAAAAGGGGAAAGAAAGTGTTTTCTTTTTTTTCCTTTATCCTGGAAAGTACGATTTAATTCTCGCAGTGGCACGGATTTCTTCCCCAAGAGGCACAGTTGTGCCTCTTGAAGAAAAAGTAGAAAAAACATATTTTTTTGTCTTTTCGAGACGTATGGATTTTTTTTCTCATGGAGGCATGAATTTGCTTTTGTGAGAGGCACACTCGTGCCCCTTTGAAAAGGAAAAAATGCGCCCTCGGTTCGGTTTTTTTGTAAAAAAAATTCAAAACCTATCAACATGGTATCTAGTTTTGAAGATCTCAATGCGAGTATCCAATGGTGAAAACAGTTTAAAATTTAGACGCGTGGTTTAAGAAATAAAACATTTTGAATAAACGAGTCTAAAAAAAGG